CCTTTAATAATATAAACCCACCCAGTATAACTAACTGTAACCTAACCTACACGGTGCATCTAACGTGTGTGGGAGCCTGGAGTGTCCCTTTAATAATATAAACCCACCCAGTATAGCTAACTGTAACCTAACCTACACAGTGCATCTAACGTGTGTGGGAGCCTGGAGTGTCCCTTTAATAATATAAACCCACCCAGTATAGCTAACTGTAACCTAACCTACACAGTGCATCTAACGTGTGTGGGAGCCTGGAGTGTCCCTTTAATAATATAAACCCACCCAGTATAACTAACTGTAACTTGACCTACACAGTGCACCTAACGTCTGTAGGAGCCTGCAGTATCCCTTTAATAATATAAACCCACCCAGTATAACTAACTGTAACCTGACCTACACAGTGCATCTAACATGTGTGGGAGCCTGGAGTATCCCTTTAATAATATAAACCCACCCAGTATAACTAACTGTAACCTGACCTACACAGTGCACCTAACGTGTGGGAGCCTGGAGTGTCCCTTTAATAATATAAACCCATCCAGTATAACTAACTGTAACCTAACCTACACAGTGCACCTAATGTGTGGGAGCCTGGAGTGTCCCTTTAATAATATAAACCCACCCAGTATAACCAACTGTAACCTGACCTACACAGTGCATCTAACGTGTGTGGGAGCCTGGAGTGTCCCTTTAATAATATAAACCCACCCAGTATAGCTAACTGTAACCTAACCTACACAGTGCATCTAACGTGTGTGGGAGCCTGGAGTGTCCTTTTAATAATATAAACCTACCCAGTATAACTAACTGTAACCTAACCTACACAGTGCACCTAAACGCGTGTGGAGCCTGGGATCCCTTTAATAATATAAACCCACCTAGTATAACTAACTGTAACCTAACCTACACAGTGCATCTAATGTGTGTGGGAGCCTGGAGTGTCCCTTTAATAATATAAACCCACCCAGTATAACTAACTGTAACCTAACCTACATTGCAGTGTCTAATGTGTGGGAGCCTGGAGTGTCCCTTTATTGACATAAACCCTCAGGCTAACTGTAACCTAACCTACACAGTAACCTAACGTGTGGGGAGCCTGAGCGTCCCTTTATAATATAAACCCACCCAGTATAACTAACTGTAACCTGACCTACACAGTGCACCTAACGTGTGGGAGCCTGGAGTGTCCCTTTTAATAATATAAACCCACCCAGTATAACTAACTGTAAACCTAACCTACACAGTGCATCTAACGCATGTGTGGGAGCCTGGAGTGTCCCTTTAATAATATAAACCCACCCAGTATAACTAACTGTAACCTGACCTACACAGTGCACCTAACGTCTGTAGGAGCCTGCAGTATCCCTTTAATAATATAAACCCACCCAGTATAACTAACTGTAACCTGACCTACACAGTGCATCTAACGTGTGGGAGCCTGGAGTATCCCTTTAATAATATAAACCCACCCAGTATAACTAACTGTAACCTAACCTACACAGTGCACCTAATGTGTGGGAGCCTGGAGTCTCCCTTTAATAATATAAACCCACCCAGTATAACTAACTGTAACCTAACCTACACAGTGCATCTAACGTGTGTGGGAGCCTGGAGTGTCCCTTTAATAATATAAACCCACCCAGTATAGCTAACTGTAACCTAACCTACACAGTGCACCTAACGTGTGTGGGAGCCTGGAGTGTCCCTTTAATAATATAAACCCACCCAGTATAGCTAACTGTAACCTAACCTACACAGTGCATCTAACGTGTGTGGGAGCCTGGAGTGTCCCTTTAATAATATAAACCCACCCAGTATTACTAACTGTAACCTAACCTACACAGTGCACCTAGCATGTGTAGGAGCCTGGAGTGTCCCTTTAATAATATAAACCCACCCAGTATACCTAACTGTAACCTAACCTACACAGTGCACCTAACGTGTGTGGGAGCCTGGAGTGTCCCTTTAATAAAATATTAACCCACCCAGTATAACTAACTGTAACCTACCTACACAGTGTATCTAACGTGTGTAGGAGCCTGAAGCGCTCTGTCAATTCAATATAGAGTCACTTTTCTGTTCTATAAGGACATTAAATGATTTCCCAGTGACTAACTAATTAACAGTACATTACTGTGCATCTGTAAAATTAAACGATTGACAAGTTGGTATATTTACTATTTTATTACCCTCCCCCCATTCTGCAGAAACATATGATAACAGAGTTACAGACAGTTTGATTTCCATGTAACATTATAAGAAATACAGCAAGCACAGAGTTACAAAAGTGCAGGAAAAGTGCTGACCTGCAGTATGCAGTATTCAGAAGCTGCAGGAAGGAAGTCTTCATAAATGAGCTACGGGATCCCAAATGTGCTGCCTACCGTGTTTCCCCGAAAATAAACCCTACCCCGAAAATAAGCCCTAGTCGGATTTTCGGGGTGGGCTGCAATATAAGCCCTACCCCGAAAATAAGACCTAGGCATTGTACCTTTGCGGCAAGACTTCCTTCTTCTGCTGTAGGAGGAGCGTGGCGCCGCGTGATGACGACATTTTGCAGCGCCGTCAGTCTGCCTTCACGGATCTTCAGCGGAAGGATCCATTTCCGGGCGGTGAGGCTCCCAGTGGTCGGACTCGGCAAGGAATCTTTGAAATGTGAGTACCGCTAGATATTTTATGTCTGGGATTAATTGAATTAATTAAAGGGGGTGGTGAATTAATTAAAGGGTGGGCTGGATTAATTAGAGGGGGGTGAATTAATTAAAGGGGGTGAATTAATTAAAGGGTGGGCTGGATTAATTAGAGGGGGGTGAATTAATTAAAGGGGTGGTGAATTAATTAAAGGGTGGGCTGGATTAATTAGAGGGGGGTGAATTAATTAAAGGGGGTGAATTAATTAAAGGGTGGGCTGGATTAATTAGAGGGGGGTGAATTAATTAAAGGGGTGGTGAATTAATTAAAGGGGTGGTGAATTAATTAAAGTGTGGGCTGGATTAATTAGAGGGGGGTGAATTAATTAAAGGGTGGACTGGATTAATTAGAGGGGGTGAATAAATTAAAGGGGTGGTGAATTAATTAAAGGGTGGGCTGGATTAATTAGAGGGGGTGAATTAATTAAAGGGGGGTGAATTAATTAAAGGGTGGGCTGGATTAATTAGAGGGGGTGAATTAATTAAAGGGGTGGTGAATTAATTAAAGGGTGGACTGGATTAATTAGAGGGGGGTGAATTAATTAAAGGGGTGGTGAATTAATTAAAGGGTGGGCTGGATTAATTAGAGGGGGGTGAATTAATTAAAGGGGGGTGAATTAATTAAAGGTTGGACTGGATTAATTAGAGGGGGTGAATTAATTAAAGGGTGGGCTGGATTAATTAGAGGGGGTGGATTAATTAGAGGGGGGTGGATTTATTAAAGGGGGGGTTCAATGTACATACCGGTACCGTAAATAAATAAGCCCTACCCTGAAAATAAGCCCTAGTGTGTTTTTTGTGACTAAAATTAATATAAGACCCGGTCTTATTTTCGGAGAAACACGGTATATTAACAGATTCCCTTCCTGCAGAGTGTGAATGCATCATACATAATGGTAACGCTTTTCCTGTACTGCCTATCAGCAGGAAGACAAGATATGTGTCCAGGAAAACATGGTGGCTGTAGGCATTGATGGATTAAGTTCTCCCACCAAAGGAAATACACTGTTGCAAGTTTCACTGGTTTTAATTGGCCAGGTGCCCTGCCTGCTGCTTTCTTATGATTATTTCAGTGTCTGTTGTGGGTGACCCATTACAAATAGCTGGGTGTCTGGAGGTGCAATTTACATATGCTGATTACATTACTCATTTACTAAATAGATGTGTGACTTGTTTCCAGGTGATTGCTCCTGTCCAACGATTGTCTCTTTGTTTAAAAGACACAGGATAGCAGAGAAGGAACCTCATGATATGCAGATTGATTGATGCTTGCCATAGTCACACTTCTGATATACATGTAAACGCAATCCTAATTGGATTCATTCAAACAGTTTTCTGCTGAGTCCTAGAAAATCCAGTGCGTTTCCAGCCAGCAGCTTGTCCTGCGAAGAAAGAATATTGACAAATATTTAAAACAACAGAACAACAAAATCACAAAGTTCAATGTGCTAAACATTTTCATTTAACGGTTGAAGAAATATAAAAATAACGCATTCATCCCATCTGCTGTACAAACTCACACTATGACAGGTGACTGTAAGAAACAGCAATCAATTGTTTCCCTTATTTATCATTATTATTATTATTTTATTATTTGTATAGCGCCATCAGATTCCGTAGCGCTGTACAATGGGTGGCCTAACAGACATGTAATTGTAACCAGAGAACTGGACGTACAGGAACAGAGAGGTGGAGGGCCTTGCTCAATGAGCTTACATTCTAGAGGGATTGTCTCTGTATACACTTGGTTACCACTAGGGTCAAATGTGTATTTTGTACCTAATTTAGTTTTAAATTGTTATTTTTTTTAAAGCAAAGTTTAGATGGTAGTTTTGGAGTATATGTATCCCCATGATTTTTAAGGTACAGGATGGCACTTCTCAGATTAATGTCATATTGGATTAAGTCATTTATCGCTGGGGATCATGCAGCACACTATTCATGTACGGCCTATTAACACAATGAAAGGATGTGTGTCTTATAAAACATGGTGGGCCTGCTAGCTCTGCATGGCAACGTACCCTATCATACAGGCTCTTATACCTGTCCAGGCCACTGAGTGTTATAGACAGACCTGCAGGAAGTATTTAGTGTGCCTCTATATCCTTATCTCCCATTAGTAGCATTTAGGATAATCCAGGTGCTGGGCAAACACATTGACATCGTTTCCTTTAATTGTGACCCTTTTAACCCCTTAAGGACCAAACTTCTGGATTAAAAGGGAATCCTGACATGTCACATATGTCATGTGTCCTTAAAGGACCACTATAGTGCCAGGAAAACATACTCGTTTTCCTGGCACTATAGTGCCCTGAGGGTGCCCCCACCCTCAGGGTCCCCCTCCCGCCCGGCTCTGGAAGGGGAAAAGGGGTAAAACTTACCTTTTTCCAGCGCTGGGCGGAGAGCTCTCCTCCTCCGATCCTCCTCTTCTCCTCCCCGTCGGCTGAATGCGCACGCGCGGCAAGAGCTGCGCGCGCATTCAGCCGGTCACATAGGAAAGCATTCATAATGCTTTCCTATGGACGCTGACGTGCTCTCACTGATTTTCACAGTGAGAATCACGCAAGCGCCTCTAGCGGCTGTCAATGAGACAGCCGCTAGAGGAAATAGGGGAAGCCTTAACCCATTTATAAACATAGCAGTTTCTCTGAAACTGATATGTTTATGAAAAAATGGGTTAACCCTAGCTGGACCTGGCACCCAGACCACTTCATTAAGCTGAAGTGGTCTGGGTGCCTAGAGTGGTCCTTTAAGGGGTTAAAGGCTTCAGAGGGGTGGGAAGGAAAATAAAACACTATTCTGGTTTTCTGTCTTCTAAGTGTTAAAATAAAATCACTTTTGGGGAGGTTATGGACATAGGCAGTACACAATTCAGAACGAAGGGCAGGGAGTTAACCGGGGCAGCCAACAGGGGGACAGGACAAACACATCCCTCCTCCACCCCACCCCCCCCTACAAAAACAAAAACAAAAAAAAAACAACCTTTTTTTAGCGACTTACAATACTCAGAGACCCATGAGAACCTAACAAGCCTCCACATGAACACGATAGAGTGGGCACCTCGACACAGACTACCCCACTACTTTGCCTAGACAGAGATGGGAGGAAGACTGGTTGTCAGCCAGTGGGGACTAGGCAGAGATAGACCGCGGGATCCAGGAGCCTCCCCAGAGGCACTCGTACCTACTGGATCCCCCCCGGGAGAAAGGTGGGAGGGGGCAAGTGAAACACAGAGCACCTAAGGGAGGGGGTCCCGGAAATACTTCTAGCAGGGTCTCGAAACAGAAGCCCCCAAAGCGAATGACCAGGGGGGGGGGGCTGGGGGGCAGAGGGGTTACTCGTTGGCCTGATGATAGATACACCAGTTAACACCGACAGGACGCTAGATCACATCACCCGAATCCCTGGGCGGAGTCACATATGGGCATTAGTTATACTGGGTGCTATCTCAAATAACCGGATGTTCTGTTCATGTTATTGAAATTTGTTGTAGAGTTGTGTTAAGTTACCTTCATATGTTAACAGCATATATGCACATCAATGCAATAGCGCGTAACGGGGGGAGGGCTCACGAACCTGCATCCCGGCCGAACGCTGGACGAGGGCGAGATGCGGGGTCTTGACCCCCACGAAAATCTGGCGAAACGTAAGACCAGACAACGCTGGTGGAGCATGGGGAGTGCACCACATCTTTTCATTTCCTTTCTTTACTTATCTTTATTCTTTCTATACCCCCCTTTTCCAGTTTCCCTACACCCCTGGGGGGGAGGCATCAGGACGTATCGGGGAGGCACGGGTGACGAGCAGAGGTGGGCGCGGGCAACAGCAGATCAAACGGGATGGAGATATGGCGGTTAAAATAACGTCACTGAACGTGAAGGGACTAAACTCCCCCACGAAACGGAGACTGTTATTTAAAGAGCTTAAACGAATGCGATCCGACATCGCATTTATACAGGAGACGCACTTACCGAAACAGGCCAAATTCCAGTTGAGGGACCATACATACCATACAACGCATGAAGCTAGGACATGCAAACGCAACGGGGTAGCGATACTCATTCGCAATAGCTGCCCACTCAGAGTCACATCCACAGAACCAGATGCGGGGGGTCGATACATTATAGTCTCGGGTACCCTACTGTCCCATCCCATCCATTTAATCAACGTATATGCACCTAATCGCCCAGAGCCAGCCTTCTGGGAGTCACTGCAGGACAAAATCCAGACCCTAAGCCATGGAATGATTATTGTGGGGGGCGACTTAAACGCGACGCCGAACCCGGCCATAGATAGAAGGGCAGGCAGCGGTATACAAAGATCGCAGGGGAGGGGGAGCCAAGACAAATTGCTCCACAGATTCATGACGGAATCGGGGTTGGTGGACGTCTGGAGAGCACATCGTCCGACAGCACGGGATTATTCTTTCTATTCGGCCCCTCACAAATCCTACTCCAGAATAGACATGTTCCTCGTGAACAACAAAAGTCTACCGCAAATAACTAACACGGACATAGGATCCATTACCTGGTCGGATCATGCCGATATATCACTGACACTGGGGAAGCTAACAGAAACGACCCCGTGGACATGGAGACTAAATGCCTCCCTACTGAAAGACCAGAACATAACAACCCAAATTAGAACAGACATAAAGAGCTACTTTGAATCCAACGCCATGCCAGATATGGCGTCAACGACAGTCTGGGCTGCCCACAAGACAGTAATCAGGGGCACTCTCATAAAACTGGCAACAGCCAAAAAAAAATTAAAGTTCCAGGAACTAGAAGGCCTACTGACCGATCTTAAGAAGACAGAACAACAACATCAGAACAACCCCGACGAAATTACGGCCGGAAAACTAGGGGAAATACGCCTGGCAATACGCCAACTTCTTCTGGACGACACCGCAAAATCTATTCTGTGGTCCAGACAAACCTTTTATGAACACGCAAACAAAATGGATACGCTTTTGGCTAGAGTACTGAAACCCAGACATAGAGGGGGACATATCACATCGATCAGACACACCGACGGTTCAATCAAAACCTCCCCACGGAACATAGCGGAAGTCTTTACGGAATACTATAAATCCCTATATAATCACTCCCCAGGATCGGAAGCGCGGGTGGCGGGGGAAGAGGCGCTGACACAGCAATTCCTGGCAGACTTAGGGCTACCCAAACTAGCGCAGGAAGGCAGGGAAGCATTGGCGGCAGAAATCACAACGGAGGAAGTCACACAAGCCATAGCTGCCATGAAAGGGAACAAAGCCCCAGGCCCAGACGGGTTTGACGGGAGCTACTATAAGGAATTTAGAGACGAACTAGCTCCACACCTCACAGCCATGTTCAACGAATTTAGAACAGGAGGCACCCCACACGCAGACATGTCAATAGCAAATATCATCCTGCTGCCAAAACCAGCCAAAGACATGAGCACACCAACTAGTTATAGGCCCATCTCTTTGATAAATCACGACATGAAAGTACTAGCTAAAATACAGGTGACAAGACTGAACCCCTACCTGACATCTCTGGTAGATGCAGACCAGGTGGGATTCGTGCAGACCAGACAGCTGTTTGAGAACACACGCAGGAACATAGACCTCATCTGGAAGCAAAAAATTACCCACACACCGACTATGCTGGTCTCCTTAGACGCTGAGAAAGCGTTTGATAGGGTCTCATGGACGTACCTATTCACGCTCTTGTCCCATATGGGATTTCCCACACAGGCCATCACATTAATAAAAGCCATGTACAGCAATGTACGTGCACAGGTGAAAATCACTGGCGCCCCGCCTATCCCGTTCCGCCTTCACAATGGCACCAGACAGGGATGCCCATTGTCCCCGCTTTTGTTCGTCCTCTCACTGGAACCACTGCTCCAAGCTCTCAGGTGCCACCCAGACGTACAGGGGGTTAGAGTGGGAGGGAGAGAATTTCTTACTTCGGCATACGCGGACGATGTGCTCCTGACGATCACCGACCCGATTAACTCGATGAGGGCATTGCAGGGAATTTTAGAAGACTATGGGAAGATCTCAGGGTACAAAGTCAACATGACTAAATCCAGCGCCCTCCCAATAGAGATAGATGATAGGGACATAGCACTCATTCAGAGGACATACCACATACGCATAGAACGACAATCAATTAAATATTTAGGCATCACGTTGACGGCAGACCCGGACCAACTCTGGCAACAGAACTACACACCACTCATAAAACAATTAATAAGGGAACTAGAAAACTGGAATGATAGGCCTATTTCTTGGATAGGCAGAATTCATGCAGTTAAGATGAACATTCTCCCTAGGATACTATTCTATTTCCAGTCTCTACCCATTCATATATCTAAAGCCCACTTAGCACCCCTCCAGCAAGCGATAGGAAATTTCGTATGGCACAATAAACGACATAGAATCACGAGACAAATATTGCACAGGCCAAAGACAGGGGGGGGTTGGGATTGCCCGACCTTTACAAGTACTACCTAGCGTCACAACTGGCGCAAATAGCTTTGTGGCACTCGCCACCGGGAGAACGAAAATGGGTGGATTTGGAGTCACTGATGGTGGGGGCAGACATACCACAATTGCTTATCTGGGTCCCCAGGGCTCACAGACCTATTATAAGGGTTACGTGTCCAGCAATACTGAACTCCATAAATATTTGGGACAAAAACCAACAGCGACACAGACTGGTGTCCGCCCCATCCCCTCTGATGCCTTTCCTGCGGAATAGAGCATTCCCGTCGGGTATGGCAGCACGGAACTTCTGTAATCTAGAAAGGATAGGTTTACAGCGCATCTATCAGCTAGTGCAGGATACAGGGGTGGTGGCCTTTGACACACTACAGCAACACGGACACCTCACACCCGCCGATTTTTTTAGGTACCTCCAGGTAAAAGACTTTGTGACACTTCCCTGGGTCAGAACAGCGGCCAAACAAACCATGACCTTTTTCGAACTCATCTGCCTCCAGGATCATATCCCGGCGGGTCTGATAACTCGGCTTTACGCCCACCTCTGCTCGGAACCTAATGCAGGGGGAGACCTAGTTTACACAGAGCAATGGGAGAGAGACCTGGGGGAACAATTAGAAGGCATTGAGTGGCAGGAGATATGGGAAGCCAATCATAAGTCCTCAGTTTGCGTAACAATACAAGAGCAAGCGGTAAAAACTATGCTCCGATGGTATACCACTCCTGTAAGATTACACCAAATGAGAAAGAACCCAAATGACACATGCTGGAGAGGATGTGGCATGAAAGGGACGTATATCCACATGTGGTGGGAATGCCCAGTAATAGTGAGATTCTGGAACAAATAAGTGAGCTACTAACCCAGGTCCTGTCCAGAGTCCCCCCCCTAGACCCGTGGCTGTTCCTACTAAGTAGAACGATAGATGGGTGGACCAGACGAGAACAAAAACTCATTCATAAAATAACCCTAGCAGCGAGGAGAGCAGTAGCAGCAGATTGGCTTAAACCAACAACCCCGGCGGTAGCAGGGGTCATAACTAGAATAAGAGAGGTACGCACAATGGACGACCTGACGGCAAGAGTTAGGGGAACAGAAAAACAGTTCCAAAAAATATGGGCACCCTGGGATAACAGCCCCCTAGCATAGAGAGGCCCAACATGCCCTCCCATCAATAGCATGTCGAACACTAGAAAGAATCGCTGATGCCTCTAACCCCCACACCCCCCCCTCATTCACCACTAATACCCCACTTTCTGTCTTTCTCTTTCTTTCCCTCACTATACTCAAAACACAAAGCTAAGTAGAGCAAATGCAACTCACAGGGTGGGGGAGAGCGGTGGCGGTGCGCGCGTAGAGCTGTGGAGACGAGGGAAAAACAGTCAACGCGCTACTCAACGCAGGCTAAGACCTCCTGCATGACTTGATAATTTCCCCATACAATACAGGCCCCAATATTTGCGAACCACAGAGAACACGCAACATATACAGACTACACCCGGCTAACAGGTGTAGTGTAAAATAAAATAACTAACAATGAATGCATGCCTGAGAATGAAAAATGTATTAGTTGCTGCCATACAAAGCCTGTACTCGGACAAAAGATAGCGACTTGGTTTTGTGTATATAAAAATGTGCACTGTTTTTTTTATTATGCCACATATCTGTTACAGCATGTATCCATTATGTTTGCACCAGCTGTCGTGGCAGTGCAAAAATGATTGTTAAATATATGCGCAAATAAAATAAAGAATTTTAAAAAAATAAAAAAATAAAATCACTTTTACCCAACCTTGTGGTGTCTCCGAGTCTTTTTATGTTGAGTTGTAACCCCTCACTGAACATCTTTTCCAAATATACAGAGCCAAATATCCATTTATATATTAGCAGGTTTTTTCACTACAGTGAGAATTCAGATTAATTCAAAGTGAATTTCAAATTTCAAAAAACACAACGAAGCCATAGTTCCAGTACAGCTACTTTGATCTTAAATTTGAAATCTACTTTAAATCCACTTTGAATTCTTAATTTACTGAGCAAACCCTGTCTGTAAATAATGGTGGGGGTTTCCACATCCTCTGTGTTTCATAAGATGCATTTAACATATTTTAAGCAGTATTAAAATGTGAATTGTCTGAAATTCTGAATTTTATATTCTAGGCCAAAATAGCAAAATTGTAAAACTACTCAAAGTGAACAGTATTTTTAATTTGCCTGTTTTGGCCTAAAATGTTTAATTACCTTTGTGTTTGTGATAATTCACAGCAGTATGTAGAATTCAAACACCGCTGGAAGGAAACCAAGTGATCAATCAAGGAGGGATGCCAGCAATTATGTCCTTCCAGCAGCACATGAATTCTACGTACAGCAAAATGCTAAATGAACCCACCTGGTTTAGAACCATTCAATCAGAGGCACATTCACAAATTAAATCCACCAGTTTTGCAATGTTTGCCCACTGGTTGTGGAAACAGCTAACAGGCAAATCACTCTGAAGAAAAATGACTAAATAGATATATATAAACAAGTGGGTGTCTCTGGACCCCCTATTAACCTGGAGGCCTTAGAAATATGCCTTTTCCTAAGATATTACATCATAGGCAGCTGTGTGAGCCTTAAAGGAACACGCCACACACCTAAAGCACTTTAGCTTGCTGAAATGCGTTATATGTGAAGAATGTTTTTAATTTTTTCATCGTACTGAAGCTTGAGCTAAATTCAAGAGGCAGCAATTGCACAGAGCACCTGCCTTCCAAAGACGTCTCATTAAACTGCATTGGGGAGTCTCTGATTGGACAGCCACAGAAAATCGGGGGGGATTAAAAGGGAAGGTTTGCAAAGGCTGCAGACAAGAGATCTGCAGCTTTTACAAGCTGCTTTTGAATATTCCCCCAGTAAAAAAAAAAAAATGAATGAATTAAATACATACATGTTTTAATTGGGGGCATATCTGCTAAATGTTTCCATTGGAGTTTTCCTTTAATTACAGATAGAGTAGGCATCAGTCTGTTATTAACACTGCCATTTTGTTTCACTTTATGCACACATTTTATTATTAGTCTTCCGTCTGCTTGTGAAACTCCCGTTTTATGAGATTTTAAAGAGGAACAACTTTAAAGGGACACCATAGTCACCTGAACAACTTTAGCTTAATGAAGCAGTTTTGGTGTATAGAACATGCCCCTGCAGCCTCACTGCTCAATCCTCTGCCATTTAGGAGTTAAATCCCTTTGTTTATGAACCCTAGTCACACCTCCCTGCATGTGACTTGCACAGCCTTCCATAAACACTTCCTGTAAAGAGAGCCCTAGTTAGGCTTTCTTTATTGCAAGTTCTGTTTAATTAAGATTTTCTTATCCCCTGCTATGTTAATAGCTTACCCTGCAAGAGCCTCCTGTATGTGATTAAAGTTCAATTTAGAGATTGAGATACAATTATTTAAGGTAAATTACATCTGTTTGAAAGTGAAATCAGTTTTTTTTTCATGCAGGCTCTGTCAATCATAGCCAGGGGAGGTGTGGCTAGGGCTGCATAAACAGAAACAAAGTGATTTAACTCCTAAATGACAGTGAATTGAGCAGTGAAATTGCAGGGGAATCATCTATACACTAAAACTGCTTTATTTAGCTAAATTAATTTAGGTGAATATAGTGTTCCTTTAACCCATAAATGGCAACATTGTTTTTATGTTCCTATGTGGCAAACATATTTTGTCTTTTTGGTTGCCTGAATTTTTGCACTAGTGATGACAATAGTGATCTCCGAATGCAATATGCTAAAATGGAATAAATTAAGGCTACCAATATGGTGCGCTCTGAGACAATAAACTACTAACATGATACAGCATGAATAAGAATCATTATTTGTTGTATCAAAAATATAAAATAAAAACAGTGAAATGATGATGATATAGTTATCGAAAGAATCAAAAATATAATAAACATGAAAGCTGTATTGAAGATATCTCCTTTCAAGCAGGATTACCAGATGTTTTCACATAAATACTTTGTTCCCTATTATTAATGATCAAATTTGCAAATACAGGAACAATCTGATGATAATCGCCACATTTTGCTAATTCAGAGTGTATCAGACTGAATACCCCTCTATCATTTTCACTTTTAGTAATGTTAGTTTTATGAAGATACTATAAATATATTTACCATATAATAATTTATATAATTTATATATAGTTTTATTTGTAATAATGACTTATAAATATTAGAATGCAGAATGACTGAGGCTGCCACATGTGGGGAAAATATAAACAAACATTTACAGGATAGAAAATTCTTGCAATCGAAAATTAAATAAATACATTTTTTAAAATCCTACTTTTAACTTCTCATCAAAGTCTTCCATAGATTCAATCAACCTCCCTGGGCTATGTTCTCCTAAAGGAAATGGATAATCAGTTCCCAGGAGCACTTTGTCCTAGATGTGGGGAGATAAATATATATATTAGTTAAGAAATTCGAAAAATTATTTATGAATTGATGGATTTTGTCAAGGCTGGTTATCAACTTAAGGCCTTACCTACTCAAACTCTCCATTTACAGTGAGGTAAGTTCTCACCCGCCCTTCCCAATTTCCATGTGTCCTAAGAAGTACATTTTGTTCATTCCATTTTCTAATTTCGAATACAATTTCCAATTCTTGCTAGCATGTCTCTCATACTTTATCCTGTCTTTTTATGCAGAATCACCATAAATATAAATTAAAATAAATGAACAGAGTTAGAAACCAATCAGGATCAGGTTAGTCAATTTAATGCTGCTGAGATTGGTTTTGTTACTACTGGGACCAGTGAAGACTGATTGACACAATGCAGATCACAAATTCTGTCTCCAAGGTTCTAAGCTTCCATCTGTGGAACCCATCCTGTGCTATATACACCGAGCATTCTGGGAAATATAGCTCAGCAATGGTGCCATGTTTAGCCATATCTGATCCAGCAAACTAATAAAGAGCACAACTTTAAATATGACGTAATCCACTGTAAAATAAATAAAACCAGCTCAGCTTATGTCAACTACAATGCTATCACAATAAAATGTAAATTACTAAAATAAACAAATAAATAAACAAATAAGAAACAATAAAATGCAAACTATAAAATGTGCTCATAATTAAAACTGAGCTCCTTGTCTTTCCTCCTCCTAATACTGATCCTCCTCTCTCGCTCTCCCTTCAAGTTTGTGGTACCCACATCAGTCCATCCTTGCAAGCGCGCTGTCTTGGCGTCATACTTGATTCTGGCCTCACCTTTGAGCCTCACATCCAGCATGTTGCCAAATCCTGTAGATTCCATCTTAAAAACATAGCCCGCATTCGCCCCTTTCTTGCACCAGATACTACCAAGGAGCTTGTCCATGCTCTAGTAATTTCCCGCATGGATTATTGTAACCCTCTCCTGATTGGTCTTCCCAAAAGCCGTACTGCACCGCTACAGTCCGTAAAGAACGTAATGAACAGTCCGAATTTTCGGCATCCAGACCAGCCTTATTTTTCTTCTGAAGAACTCCCCAGCGTGCTTAAGACCCACGGGGAAAAAGATGAAAAAACTACGGCAGGATGCACCCCGACTGGGCATGAATATTGGGGATTTGTGGTGGCATGCTCATGACGCTCACAGGCCCAAAATGGCATTCATCACTGGGGACTGCTCGGACCTCTCAGACGACTTCTCCTGTGGAACAGAGGAAGGCTAGATACCTGATCAGGCGCCTTCACCGCCGACCCCCTAATGAAACCAGACTCAGCTCTGGTGACAACTACAATATTAAAAGAGCCACTGGTTGACCTGCAAAAAAAACCTTCATGCAGACATGGCCATGATACACCAGGACCTGCAGGGCCTGACAGGCCGAATTGGAGCACTGGAAACTAACTCACACTCCTGCACACAGCAGATCATAACTCTTCAACAAGAGGTCAGCGACTTGCAAAAGCAAAATCACTCCTATGAATGCCGCTTTGCTGCACAAGACGACTCCCGGCACCGGAATAATCTGAAATTTCGGCAGATCCCTGAAAGAGTACCCGAAGCAGAGCTCCCACATGTGGTGAGATGGTTGCTGACAGCCTTACTAACACCCAAACAGTCCTAAACAATAGTCACAGAAGGCATATTCCGGGTACCCAAACCAGCAAAAGCACCACCTACAACATCAAGGGACCTGATAATCCAATTCCCAAATGGAAAAGACAAGGCAGATGTCCTGAATGCTCTAAGGGGCAACTCACCTTACATCTTCAAGACATGTCACTGACATTCTATGCGGACCTATGCGACAGCACTCAGGCATGGAACTATGACCACTCACCTCCCTTCTACAACAGCACAAAATATGCTACCGATGGTGCCCATCTCGATCATTGTCAGTCCTCCACGGGGATTCAACCCACATCATTCAGGACCTCCAGGAAGCTGCAATGATGCTGCAGCGCTTGGGAATCCCCCAACACTCCTTCAGCATTGGCGCCCCGAGTGCAGCGCCTCAACCGACCCACAGATGGAACCCAGGGATTGCTGCAGAATTTGCGCCCAGGCTGGCCACATCGGGGGGACGGGTCAAAGCCAAAACCTGACCTCAAAATAGGACTACCTCTTACAGTCCCAGTTCGGGACTCATGCACTTAGGCAACCTCTTCCCCACAGTGCACAAAAGCCCACATCCTTACTCACACATAGAGCAGGATAATTACCTCAACCCTTTTTAGACCGAATAGCTAATTTCTCCATTGTCCCCCCCTTTTTTGCCTAACGGTTAATTAGGCTAAGAAGGTGAAAGCTACAAACCTGAACATGCTAGCCAAGAACACACCCATGTTCCACGACAAGCTCCAATTTTCTATTTATGACCCATCTTACTCTCACACCTCTATTGTACACATCAGGCCTGCAACTGAAACATCATCAAGGACCCATCTTAAGTCTATCCTCATAGATATAGTACACCAAGAGTAACGATAGACATCTTAGTTCTAGTTCTCTCTTTGCTGTATGAGTCTATGCTGCATCTAACTTTGACATTCTAGTGACACGTACTATGCCAAAGCAAAACTGCCACAACCTGGTGGTTTACCACTTATCACTCACCTATCTCACCATTTACTCAAACTTCATTGCTAAGTCTTCTTGAATATGCACCATGCTTGTCTCATTATAAAAAAAGTGCCGATTTCTATGTACACACGTTTACTTCTGACAATCCCACTCCTTGATATATTTGTATATTGTGCAAACACTAACTTGAATTTCAAATTTGAGGGTAAAGTAGCCAAACTGTAAGCATTCTCCAGTTTAGTTAATTTGATGTTAATTTTGAAATTCACTTTGAATTCACCACTTTGATGTCCCCATAATTCAAACTTTGACAGGGTTATTTACGAAAGGGAATTCTAAATTTGAGTAGCTGAAATGAAAGCATGGTTGACTTATAACATTTTTCTAATTCTGCTCTTTTCACTTTAAATTTTAAATTAACTTTGAATTCACATTGAATTCTCATGAGCCCTGTTACAAAATAAACAGGTTAGTGTTACAATAAAAAATATAGAAGAAATACTAAGATTTTTAATATTATGCTTATTTTTCCCTTTTCCCTTGAATTGACCTAATTAGTGTTTGCAATGTCTAAAATAAAATTCATTGTAGAAAACGGCAATTTTGCATTTAGTTTTAGGAGCCCCCATCCTAGCTCCACATCAATCATTGTTATACGCTCTGCCCCTTTAACTGCCCTCAGTCACTAGCGCAAGCACAGAGAGTGAAGGAGAAATAGAAACATGTTTTTATTTTCGCTTTAACGCAATGATCGCCCCGGAATGAGCTGGATTTTGATGTAATTTGTAAAATCTTTACTGTACATTCAAAACAAAATGAAGTATCACATGAAAAAAAAGGTTAGTACGCATTATAAGTGATTTTTAATGTGTTTTTTGGTGGGGCGATTTCCAGAAAAACATTGGTTCCCCTTCGAGGGATAACATGAACTCTGCTTAGGACAATAACCAGTTGTAATAGTTAGAAATTCCACTAGGGGTCACTAGATACCTGATATTATGCAATGCCAGACATTGGACCCATATTCCCTAAAGCATAGAATCCAATTTAACATGACGTATGGGTTTGCATGATCTTGAAACTGTTGTCTGCACTTGTATCTCTTGCCTGTTCTTGCAACAAGGATGTATCTCTGTCTCCTTCCAATTGCATGTAACCATCCCATGTAAGACATCTATCATCCTGCGCAGTGTGTATTTACGTTACATCCAGAAGCAGAATGCTCCCTTGTTTGCTATGTGATTATTTATAGATTACGCCTGCTGTCCACGCTGTGATTTTTACTCCCCAGCGGGTGGTTACGATTGTTCTAGGGTAATGATTTCGCTGTGAGGCAGTCTGTATATAAAATTACATTGTGCAGATTAAGATAACGCCACGTGAAAAGTGGCATTGGCTTTCTTATAATCCCACGGATAGGTTTATATATTTTAGATTGGCTCGATTGTTTATATATAGGGGGATTTTATGACTTAGATCATAGTTAAGAAAATTCAATCATATTTTCATGAATGAATTCAGAACAGATTAGAACTACTGGTTTTTATCACAATCAGCCTTAAAGTGTTTTTCACTTAATTCCGACTTGTAGCAAATTTAAATCAAAAGGCGAATTTTGCGCTACAGCAGCCAAAGTGTGCTAGAGAGGAACTGGAGGATTTTTCTAGATAAGCAATTTTCATCTACATTTTGCCATTCACAATTGAATTTGCTACATGATTATTATTTAAATGCTTTGTTTTGAAGTTTGCAGTAGCATCCATATACAACACATCAGAGGATAAGTAATGTAAGGTATAGGAAGGAACAAGGATTCCACCCAGTAAAAGTAAACCAAAGCTAATAAAATAGCATATGGACTGATTAGAAGCCACGCTATAATCATGGCACGGGATCCAGATGAGATATAATGACACTCGAGCATATCGAGATCATTATAATTACCAAGATATGGAGGGCAAAGAAAAAGGAGAAGGAGAAAGTGTGATCTCAGGCCCAGAAAGGGATTGAATAATTGGTTGCAAGTTGTGTAAATAAATAAGTGAGGAAGTGCTAAACCTGGTTAATGCTAATTACCTGGGCCTTAATTCTAAGAGCCGTGAGGACGAGGTGGGTGAGGGAAAGGGAAATATAACATAGCAAGGGGTAGTAGGGTAGGGATAAGAACAATATACAAGAAATAAAGAAAGGAATAAGAAAAGGTTGACAAAGGGGTGGAGAAAGAACTAAGAAGAGAGACAAGCTAAAGAGAAGAGTTGTGTGGGAGTCCATGATGGAAGGCTACCAGAAAGAATAGGGGTGGGGGGAGGTCATAACTATTGTAACTCTAGTAACAATAGAGATTTACATCCCAAAAAACCCTAGAAGAGATGGATGGCAGAAACAAAGATAAATCTCAACTCAACTAATGGTCCCAAATTTTGAGAAATTGTATTGTGGAGTCATGTAATTGTGCAGTGAGTATTTGTAAAACTAAGGAAGTTATGGATATGGGAACGCTACTAGTGAACCATAACTAGTAGCCCTGCGACTTGATAACACAACTCATGCAGCTAGTTTATTTTCAGCCCGGGGAAATGAATGCAAAGTTATGGCTATGAGCCAGAGTGGCAAAACGCGTGTCGGGGAATCTGACAGACGCATATGATAGCCACTGTATCAGAAGTGTGCTCTTATTAAGACAGTAATGGCTTTATTACAAGCGTGTCAGTATCCTTCCTACCATTTCGGATGAAGTATAACGGTTACGATCATTTTGGTTAAAACTAGCACTATCTTTAGATCCAGCGTTCTCAAGCGATTGCACCTTAGGATGTGGGTTGGCTTCCATCTACCTTCATTTAGGAACTCACGTTTTTTTTGGGTTAAGGGGTGCCCTTGAAGGCATAGATTCAGTATCGACTATTAGCTTTCCCTGTGCATACCCTTCATATTCACTTTTCCCTGCTCCTACACCCATCGCTACATAATAATCACTGGATACTTTGTTTAGCAGTAATAAGGAGCTTAGCAATTGTATCCCTTTCTTTTCTTTACACTGATGTACTTCGTGGTTTACCATCCTTAGGGCAATATTTAGTTCACTATGTAGCCCAGCAAATGTAGGCAAATAGTGACTATTCTACCAACACCCGCACTCAGTGACGGAACTACTGCTGTCGCAGAGGTCGCTGCTGCGAACGGGCCCGTCACTCCAGGGGGCCTGGCCACCCTGCGACCCCGATGCCCACCGGCTTTGACCACCGGGGCTGCATTGAAGGGGTCCATCAGGTGACCCATGCTTTTAGGAGATTCCAGGGGGCCCTGTCAGCATTGGGGCACTTTAATAGCATGACCGGGCCCCCTGAGATGACATCAGAGCTGAAAGGAAGTGACTGCCCTGGTCACTCCTCCCAGCTTACACCGGGAGCCGCACGGGTGGAGTAAGGAGAGGAGGGAGTCAGAGCTAAGCCACTGGACCCCAGGAAATGTCACCCTTCTGCACCTGAAAGGTAGGAAAGATGAGAATACACAAGCCGAGTCAAAAGGATAACAGAAGGGAGAATAGCCAAGCAAGCCGAAGTCAAAAAACAGAAAATACAAACAAATACAACGTGCTATTGGGACTAAGAAGAACCACAACAGGGCAAGGAACCTAACCCACGAAATCCTTTTTATACTGTGGCTGTATCTGGCTTGGACGATAGCCACACCCCCAAATTTTCATTTTTTGGATGTTTTGGTGATTTGTGACATCATCAGCGTCACTATGTCGATGCCCCTTTTTCACGGCATAAAAGGGGCGGAGCTATCGCGGCCGACGCGAAAATGACTGGAAGCAGTGGGAAAATGGTTGGACAGGTCCCCAGGACTTTGCAAACAGTCTTCAGTGTGAGACACATCCTGTGTCCACACAAAAGGTACCCTGTCAGTGTGTTTGTATGTGTCTGTATATGTGTGTGTTAGTATGTATGTGTGTGTATTTGTGTGTCTGTATCAATGTTTCTCTGTATGTGTGTCTGTCTGTATGTATGTGACTGTGTGTGTTTGTATGTATGTGTCTGTATTTATGTGTTTGTATGTGTGTATGTGTGTGAATGCCTCTCTCTGTTTTTTTATGTATGTGTCTATGTGTGTGTATGTGTGTGTTTGTATGTATGTATGTGTGTTTGTATGTATGTGTGTGCGTGTTTGTATGTATATGTGTGTGTGTTTGTATGTATATATGTGTGTGTGTTTGTATGTATGTGTGTGTGTTTGTATGTATGTGTGTGTGTTTGTATGTATGTGTGTGTGTTTGTGTGGCTTGCCTTGACGTGGCAGGTGAGCTTATATATTCAAATGGCCATTGGAATAAAACTAAAGAGCCTCCATTTTGTTTAAATGTTCATGGGGATTTAGGCCAAAGCGCAGGTAACGTTCTCTTTGTTTTTTTTTATAATACAGGGAGTTTTGAGAAGAGTGCACAGCTATATAGCTACACAGAGCGGAAATCTGGGATTTTGGGTAGGGGCGACAAGACAAGTAGATTCAAAAGATGTGGGAGTAGAAATATTGTAGAAGAGGAAAGGCATCGGAGCTCCATATAGCAAAGGTGGTCAGGGAAAAGTGAATTGGTATATCCTCATAGGCTATAATTTTGTTTTATAAATATAAAAGTGTTGAAATAAAGTATTATCAACATTTGGTGGAATAATTAGTTTTAGGGTGCTTGATCCGTAGTATGTTTAAAACGATTGACTCACCTTTCCAATTCTTTTTACTAGAAGCTTCAAGGCCTGTGGATCATGTACAAGAGAATCTGTATAAAATGAACCCAAGTATTTTTGTGGAGGGAGCGTGTTATCAATTGCGCAAAGATCGGGACGAACGTTGAAGCCATGATTAATGCGGCCAATGGTGTACGGAAAAGCCCCACCTGAAAAATATTAAAGAACACTAGACAAATCAATTTCATTACACAATCTTTGTGTCTGCCAAGATCTATGTGGGATTTGTTCATTTCCCCAGACAAAACATAGATTCAAAAACATAGACTAAAATTCAGTAGAACTTAAAAACTCTGCAATCAATAACCTACTCAAAAACAAGAAATTATACATTAAATATAAATCAGTATAAAAACATAGTGATTAAATTATGCATATCATTGTATTAAATACAGTGAATTCTGCAGAGAAGGACATTCTCCCCCGCCATATTTAAATCGGAGACATTCCGTTCACTGATTTATCCGTGACTGCCCTTTTGCATTGTTGGCATGTCTTGACGTTATTAGTGGTTCCCCCCCTAATAAAGCAGGAGATTTGTTTTAAAGGGATTATTAAGGGGTTGCTAACATGTAATAATTACAGACATCTGGCACGGAATGACAAGATTATCGCTCACTTATCAAGTCTGATCAAAAAATGCTTAAAGCAGCAGGAAAAGACAGATGAGAAAGATGATAAGTTTGAATGGCAGGATATGGATAGGTGTCTAGGCTAACACCTAAAATCCAATCAGTCAGTTTTCTAGAACATCTTATCCTAGCCGTGCTTTCTTGACAAAGTTCATTTTTCTGAAATAAATTGGATTTGAGGGGTTGTTTGAACGGCTTATTTCATGAAATAATTGTGGCAGTAGAAACTAAAGCATGTCTACTTGGAGATTTTTTTACAGTTTGCTTACTTTGAACTAAAAAGTCATCAAATGGCAATTTGATGCTTGCAGAGAGGGAGAAAGGATTTCAGAGACCTGGAGCAGCCAAACCTGGGACAGTCCAGCATTCAACGCCAATCACTGCGTGCTAATAAAATTTAACGTTTTCTAAAGACAACGAGGAAGTGAAATTTAACGTGGTTGAAATATTTTGGATGGTTATTGAGAAAACGACATTTTGCCATTATCACTTTTGTGAGAAAAGCGGTGGGCCATAGCGGACACGTGTGTTCTCTCAAAGTGCACTTTCCTGGCTAATCATGGCAGCATCACTTATGGGTAGCTCCTCCCTTAGCAGTCACAGGACAGGAATTAATTAGATTAATTAATCAGACTGATAGGTATAAGGAGTCCCTCCTCCCCCTACACCTCAGTCTTTTTTCCTGTCCTTAGCAAGTTCTACAGGACTTTTTACATTTTGTTTTATGGCCACCTTCCTGCGTTTGTCGTGGGTTCGTTCCAAATGAAGTTCAGCCTCTCTTCATTTGAAGGACCCAGTAAACAGCCTGCATGAGCAGGACTAACTGGGTCAGGTTCAGTGTAAGTACTGAACTGCAGCGTGGGAAGTAAGTGTTTGAGGGAGACACTGTTTCTGTTTATTTGTGGGGTTGGTTAGCCTTAAAAATTCCCCCTGTTTTCAGCCTGCCCCTACTAATTGGGGTTATATATCCCCCCCCATACCTTGTTGGCAGTATTTGAATCCATGCTTAGGGGTCTTGTCCTTTAGGATCTGTTTCTTGCCTCTTGTTTGGTGCCTTCCCTGCTCCCTGGCTCTGTTCCAGCCTCTGATGGGTTAATGTGAGGCTGTGCAGGATTCCCTGCTCCCTGGGGCTCCCTGTGTGCCCGGGCATTGGGGGCTGGAACGCATTATGCGTTCCAGCCGACTGTTTGTTGCTCGCAGCCGGTTCCGGCGAAACCGGAAGTAATTTGCATGCCGGTCGCGAGCGTTTGGAACGCATAGCGTGCGTTCCAGCGCTCTGCGCATGCGCGAACCGGGCAATCAGCTGTTCGCTGCCCGGACCTTTTTTAAAGCATCTAATACAGCTGCCTTGGCGCTATATCTGCTAGCCTTATGTTGGTTTACCCCTGGGGAAAGCATTGGTGTCCAGTTTGTGCCCAGCTACTCCTATCTGCTGCCTGGCTGCATAGTGGATGTTCTGCTCTTTAAGGTAGGATTGCTGTTTTTACTACTTATTGGAAGTATTGCTTTGTCAGTTTGCCTATTTATCCCTTTGGGGAATTAGGTCTTGGATTTTCCTTTGGTTCTTCTTTATAGTATGGATTCTCCCTCTGCCTCTGCAAGATCCCTCTCTAGAAAACATAGGTGAGCCATTTCTTAATTTTATTGGGGGGGGGTGTTGTTAAAAGAGTGCCATACTGAGCCTGTAATATATGTCATATATGGCTTCATTCCAGCCCCAGCATTCATTTGGATTCTCCAGCGAGAAAATCACGGGAAAAGTCAAATAAATGCATTAATTGTTCTTCGCCTGCTCCGAATAGAAGGAACCTTTGCAAGGAATGCTTGTTGGAAGTCGCTGATGCCCCCAGTAGGAGCTCTCCACAAGACGACCTTAAGCTCTGGATTTCTCAGGCTATTGCTGAGGGCTTTATGGCTACCACGGGATCTAGTGGTCCAAGTAAGAGACGCAGAGCGGAACCTCAGTCTTCCAGCTCTGATGAGGACCCTGATGTCTGGGAGGTATCAGATGAAGGTGAGGAGGAAGCTGAATATGCCTCCACGTCTCTTGACTCCAGGTCTATGGATAGACTTATTACCCTTCTCAGAGACACGCTTAGTCTCACTGAAGAAAGATCTGAATTGAAGGAGGCTGACAGGTTTTTTGAGGACCTATAGCCTAACAGACCTACTTTCCCGGTGCATGCGCCAATCAGGGATATGATCCTTCAGGAATGGAATAAGCCTGAAAAGAAGTCCACCTTAAAAAATAAGTTTGCGAGGGTTTATCCGTACTCTACAGTGGATTGCTGCCTGTGGAACTCAGTTCCTAAAATTGACGCTGCAGTGATCCATATGGCTAAGAAAATTACACTGCCTATTGACTCCATGGCATATCTCAGGGAGCCTATGGAGAAGCGTATGGATGGAGACCTGATTAAAGACTACTTGGCCTTAGGGTCCGCCCTTCATCCGGCAGTGGCACTGATGACTCTCTCCAGAGCCTTGAAAGTGTGGCTCACTAATCTGAAGGACGACATTGATCAGGGTGTCCGTAGGGAACATCTGTTGGAAAGCTTCAAGGACTTTAGTCTAGCCACGGAATTCTGTTCAGAGGCCTCCCTGGACATCACTCGCATGATTGCCAAAAGCATGGCCCTGTCTGTGGCTTCTAGAAGGGCCTTGTGGCTTCATTCGTGGGGTGCTGACTATGCTTCTAAGGCTTCCCTGTGTGCACTTCCGTTCCGAGGGGATCTCCTTTTTGGGAAGATTCTGGAAGATGCTATTCAAAAAGCTGCTGATGGGGAAAAAGGCGTTTACCTCAAGCTGGCAGGAAGAGTTTTTCCCTCCTCCTGGAAGACCAAGCGCTTCAAGGATCGGTCCTTTCGGGACAGCAGGAGCTATAAACCAGGAAGGGAGTTTTCCAGGAATTCTTCATGGAAATCCTATTCGCACTCATCTTCCAATAAGGCTTCCAGAGGAAGGGGTGCTAGAACCTCAGGGAAGACCTTCTGAAGGTCCCCAGGCCGAAGTTCTTCTACCCCATATAGGCCAGCAATATTTCAGACCTATGGGTCACTTCCATCGTAAAAGAAGGTTACAGAATATAATTCTCATCTTACCCGAAAACTGCATTCTTCAGAAGGTCAAAGGTGCCGGTAGGCATCAAACGAAGGGCCATGAGGTCCTGCATTTCTCTACTCCTGGAACAAAAAGTGGTGAAGAAGTTCCAAAACAGGAATGGTTCCAGGGAATTTACTCCACGGTCTTATTGGCCCCAAAACCACAGGGAAAGTGGCGTCTCATCTTGAATTTGAAAGGCGTGAACTCCTTGCTCGACGTAAGGACGTTCAAAATGGAATCCTTGAGGACCATCTTGAAGTGTGTCAAAAAAGGAGACTGGATGACCTCAATAGACTTAAGGGACGCCTACTATCAATCTTGGGTCCATCTCAAGGAATTGTAGCTCAACATACGTCGGTGGCAATGTCCATTCTTCAAGTCCAGGGTTGGCTCCTGAACGTGGGAAAGAGCTCCCTCGTTCCTGCACAAACTATCGTTTTCCTGGGTACGGTAGTGAATACCGTGTCTGCACATGTGTTCCTGTCTCCAGAAAGGGTCACAAAGATCAGAGACAAAGTAGGGAAGCTGCAAGTTCTCGAAACTGCACCTGCAAGAGAAGTCATGAGTCTCCTGGGTTCCTTGACTTCAACAATAGGCTTGGTGAAGTGGGCCCAGTGGAAGTTCCGTCCGGCCCAGAACTGCTTCCTTCTCCAGTTCAACAGAGTGGAAGCGGATTGGGAACAGATGATATCTCTTCCCCTTCCCGTAAGGAAAAGCTTAAACTGGTGGAAGAGCGAGAGGAATTTGACAACAGGCTTCCCGTTGGAAGACCCCCCTTGGAAGGTTATTACAACAGATGCCAGTTCTTTTGGATGGGGTGCCCACTTCAGTCCTGTATGGACTCAAGGGAACTGGACCCGAGAAGAGAGTCACCTACACTCAAACTTAAGAGAACTGAGAGCGGTTTACAAGGCCATTTTGAGATTCCTGCCGAGGCTACGGAATTCTTGGGTTCTAATCAAAACAGACAACCGAGCGGTGGCCTCATATGTGAACAACCAAGGTGGCACGAGGAGCAGGTTGCTCCTGGAAGAGCTGGCTCCCTTAATGGCTATAGCCATGACCTATCTTCAAGGCCTGAAGGCGATTTATCTCCCAGGTTCGGAGAACTAACGGCAGACTTCCTCAGCAGAAAGGAAATTCTTCCGGGAGAATGGCAACTTCACCCGGCGATCTTTGCAGAAATTGCTCATCGGTGGGGCATGCCCCAGATCGACCTGATGGCATCATCTCAGAATCACCAGGTGGAGAATTACTTCTCTCTCCATCCGGACTGTCAGGCACTGGGCCAGGATGCTCTCTCTGCCCTGGTCGTTCGATCTGGGGTATGTTTTCCCTCCCCTACCCATGATACCCAGGTTCCTGCGGAAGGTTTGGTTGGAAGGCAAGAAAGTCATTGCCGTAATTCCAATTTGGCCTCGGAGGCCGTGGTTCCCCCTATTGGCCATGATGAGCCAGGAACAACCTTGGCCTCTTCCAGTGATGGAGGATCTGCTATCGCAAGGCCCTGTATTCCATCCTCATCCGGAATGCCTCACAATGGGGGTATGGGTCTTGAGAAAGAAAGACTCCAATTACTAGGTCTCGCGGAGGCGGTGATCATTACCCTTCTGCTCTCCAGAAAGGCTTCTACTTCTTCATGCTAGCATAGGATCTGGGATGTGTTCCAAACTTGGGCATCGTCTCATAATGTGGACTTTCGGCATCCTAGCAATACTGAAGTTTGGAGTTTCTGCAAGAGGGCCTGGACAAGGGCCTTAGCCTCAGCACCTTGAAGGTTCAGTCTTCGGCACTTTCAGCTTTGTGCAACATCTCATGGGCTTCGGATCCTTTGATTTCCAGGTTCTTCAAAGCGGCCTTCAGGTTGAGGCCTCCTTCCAGATCTACTACCCCTCCTTGGGACCTTCCTATGGTGCTCAATTATCTCACTGAGGATCTGTTTGTTCCTCTTGAAAGTTTGGATGCTACTCTCCTGACGTATAAAACTTTTACTTCCGCAAGAAGGATTTCTGAAATTAAGGCATTTTCTACATCTTCTTCTTGTTTACGATTCTACCGAGATAGGGTTTGTCTGAAACCAAATCCAGAGTTTCTTCCTAAGGTAGTTTCTCAGTTTCACCTCTCTCAAGAAGTGGTTCTTCCATCATTTTACCCCAACCCCTCTTCTCAGGAGGAGGTTAGATGGCAACGTTTGGATGTCATGAACTGCTTGTCTGAATATCTTAAACGTTCTGAGTCTTTCCGTAAAACGGACCAACTCTTCGTTTTGCCGTTGGGAGCAAGGAGAGGTGAGGCGGCTTCTTTATCTACGTTGAAACGTTGGATTTCTCTGATAATTAAGAAGGCGTATATCTCTAAAGGTATATCACCACCTCGGGAGATAAGAACTCATTCTACTAGAGCATTATCAACTTCATGGGCTAGCTGTGCAGAGGTTCCATACGATGATATTTGCAGAGCAGCCACCTGGTCTTCTCCGATGACATTCATGAAGCACTACAAACTTGATGTGCAGTCTCCTTCCACCTCCTTTGGACAGAGTGTCCTGTCTACGGTCTCTTTATCCCGTTGATATTAAACTTTTCTTTGCTACATGTGTTTCAGTTTTGTGTAATTTCTTGGATTATTATTCCCACCCTATTTTTCTGTGAAGCTTGGGTATTACCCATAAGTGATGCTGCCATGATTAGCCAGGAATAGAGAAAATTTATGACAAACTTACCGTAATTTTCTTTTCCTGGCTATTTCTCATGGCAGCATCAGGGTTCCCGCCCATTCTTTATTTCAGCTTTATAATTGGACTGAGGTGTAGGGGGAGGAGGGACTCCTTATACCTATCAGTCTGATTAATTAATCTAATTAATTCCTGTCCTGTGACTGCTAAGGGAGGAGCTACCCATAAGTGATGCTGCCATGAGAAATAGCCAGGAAAAGAAAATTACGGTAAGTTTGTCATAAATTTTCTCTATTCTTGCACCATGACCACTACAATTAGCTGTAACAATGCAACAAGGAACAATTATGCAATACGCTTTTACAATTATCTACGTAAGATTGTCCCTTTTAAATGGAACCATATTTTTTCTATAATTAACACATTTGAATTGAAAAATAGAAAAATTTGCCCTAATATGTTTCCTTTAAATGCATATTAAACATTTAGCCATTGACATCACAATCCAGTTCATTCATGGCACAGCTAAGGCACACACTTGGCATTTCCTTTTTTTTTTGAAACTCGGGAAGTAGGATCTCCTGAATTAAATGAGGTGTATCCATTATTCGCAGGAAACATTATTCATTGCACCTTTTATTGCATCGCTAAGTAACTATACCTCCGTGTGCAAAGCAAACTTTAAGTTTTGGAAACTTTTCAAATATTCCACCGAAAATCATGGAGCAGATAGCGGTGGTAGTCTCGGCTGGCATGCCTTGAGATAAACACAAAAGAATGGAAGGTTAGTAAATCCAGTTAAAACACGATCACCTCTTTCATGCTAAAAATAATTGAGAGAATTGGAAGAGAATTAAGCCAAAAACTGCAGGGGCACAAGCTCTAGACCAAAACTACTTAATTGAGCTAAAGTTGGTTTGATGACTATGGTATCTCTTGATAATTTCTGTAGGTAAATCATTTCTAACAGATTGTGATCATTTGAAAAGCTTATCCAAGAATATTAACTCAAGGCCCAAGTTAGAGTTTGTTACAATTCAATCATTGTATCATTGCATGGACTATAATTGAAGGATTTGCAATATTTTAAGATTTTTCACAGACTCTGGTGCGTGACATTTTAAGTGACATGATCTCTTTTCACTTTCTATATTAATGTTTCTTTAACTGTAGAAGAGCTTAAACCTCATTACATGAACTGAGGGCAATTAATCCATCATTTCTCATTTCTCAAAATAAAGTATAATTGTTAATCAGTTTCGTTCTTGCGTCTCATTGTCTGGAATACAATTATATGATGTAAAAATGTTCTGTTAATCTCTGAACATTCAATTAGCTACGTTCCAGCTCCATCTACTTTTTTTTAAATTAATTACTTTAAGAAGAACGAATATGACAGATTGACCTGATAAGTCTCAAGAGACATTTTGAAACAATCATTTTTATTAAAGGGGCAGTCTAGGCTCCCTGCAGCTCAGTCCTTATGTTGTCAATTGTCTATGGGGCCATCCTCTGTTGTATCTCACATAGTTAGGGAATTGTTTGACAAAAGACCACCCCTTCTTAGCCAACTTGATCATATTTAAATTCCCTATGTTATCAGTATCAATTTCATCCCTTATTTTAGATTGAGATATTTTGAGAGCGCTGAAGAGGGGGGACTCTGGTACTGGGAAGAAAACCTGTTTTTTTTGTGAAACTGTTCCCTAACTGTTCCCTAAAACACCAAGGGATGGCTTTCACAGATTCTAGGCAGCATAGCTGCTATACTGAGCTGTAGTGGTTATAGTACTTAGATAGACTCCTATCGTATCTGAAAATACATTGATAACAAAGTGGTAAAAGAAAGAGAATAGGTTATCTGGTAAAACAAATCTAGTCACAGCTTAGTTGTTTTAGCTTATATGGACACTAAAGAATTAGGAATACAAAACTGTATTCCTAACCTTATAGTGTCCCTCTGCGCTCCCATCGGGTGTTGAAAGGGTCACAAACAACACTTTTACCTTAATTCCTTCTCCCCTTGCAGCGCTGTCACGCTGATGGATGTCCTAATGCTCAGGCGTGGCGAGGGCTGCACGCGCATTAGAACTTACCCATTAGAAAGCATTGAAACAAAGTTTTCCTCTGGAGTTTGTGAAGACACTAGACATCCTCATGCAAAGCTTGCAAACTCCACAAGAGGCAGTCTTAACCCTACAATGGAAACATTGCAGTTTCTCTGAAACAGCAATGCTTTACATTGCAGGGTTAAGGAGACAGGAACACTGCACCCAGACCACTTCAATGACATGAAGTGGTCTGGGTGCCTATAGTGTCCCTTTAAATGTTGAAATTCAGCTTTCAGTTTACCGCAGTTAAGTACTTAGTAAATAAACCCTTCAAGAGTAAATTCCTCTGACAGGTGGCCAAACCGTAAAATACTAACCTACCAGCCATGGCAGCCAGTATTTTGACATTCTCCCATCCACCGGCATGTCCCAGGGATGCACAAATATGGAACAGTTTAATTTTTCAGCAGCCTAAAACAGACACAAATGCAAATAAATTCTGAAAGTCATGTTAAAGCCATTTCTAGGTTTCTGGTATTTCCTGATGTTTTTCACCATTAGTATAATCATGTAGGGTCTTTATGGTTACAAAATAACTACTGAGTATGGTATGTGTTTTAGAACAGTGAGACAGAACGTGTAAAATGAAATGTCAGTGTTACCTAAGCTTCACTTCTTGATATGGGCTTTGGGTGCATCCATACTTACCCATAATGCACGGGAAGATGGCTACCACCATTCTATTAAATATATCACTAATTGAATAACGGTACGAACAGACTTTTTTAAAAATTCTTTATTTTTGTCTCAGGTCATGGTTTCAGCGTTAAAGTTGAGTGTTACATAAGAAAGATAACAGTGAGAAAGAATACAGCATATACATATAGTTAGACTTGAACAATGTTGTGTGACATACATGTGGAGTTTAATAGCCAAGGGCCATGAGCTGAGGGTATTTTATTTTGGGTAGTGGGAGTCGGTGTTACCGTGTGAACCTGGGGGTCTAGTGGCATGGTCATATAGCCGGTGTGACCGGCATTGCTAGGGGCTGTTGGCTAGCTGACATAATGATTTAGGTATGGTCTCGTTATCATGCTAGGGCAGTTAGGGAGCTATTTCTGGTACGTGGGTTTGTGAGCTACATGCTCATGCTAGAAAAGTGTACCCCATTACCCCGGGGAGAGGAGAGGGGGAGGTGAACTTGCAGTTAGGCACAGTGGGTAAGGAAAGGAAGAGTCCCAGTCACTGAAAATGGTATGTCCGTGTAGCCCTGGGGCTTTTAAGAGGTGAGTACTAGGTGGTTTTGAGTCCTGGGGCATCTCAGGGGCTGTTCATCGTTGGTGATGTTGATGCGCTTGCTCCTGCCTGTCGGGGGATGAATGGTGTTGCTGTCGGAGGGTCTTTCATTGCTGACCTTGTGTCAGGGGAGTGGTCTGATGCCCAGGACCCAGACACTGTCCGGGCAGCGGTGCGTGGACCTGGACCCATGTATGCCTGATTTTCAGAGTAGGTGTCACAGTGTGGAAGTGGAGTACAGGGCCCGGTGCAGGGTAACCGCACGCCTCCTGGTGTTAATCACCAACGTTTGTGCGGCCACATACCAAGTCCCTGATGCAGCTTAGTGGAAGCCAGAGCAGACATATGCTGAGATGGAGCCAGTACTGAAACAAGGCAAGACTAGAACAGGGACCAAACATGAAAACAAGACAGAACCAGAGCAGGACAGAAAGCTAAACCCAGAACATGAACACAAGACATGAGGGAACATTAACTAAACAGGGGCAGGACAGTACAAGGACTGGGATTACAAAATGAAACAAGACAAGATATAATAGGCAAAACAAGAGGAGACATAACTAAGCACTATATATGAAAAGTATGGGGATTTAGTCACATTATATGCTCATACATTGCATAAGCCTGACACAACGCCAATGTACCCCATATTCAGCAGGTCCTACACTGCCTAATGTTCGCTAAGAGAACCATACTAAACCACAATAGCACTTACCTGCAAGAAAGGGCAGAGACTTGAAACACTGCTGCAGGTCCAGACTGAAACAAAAGGAAAATGGAAAACAAACGGGGGTAGCAACATAAAACAAACATTTAAATGAATCCAAGAGACTGGGAAATCCAGGGACGGAATAAAGAATGAACCCAGAAACCCAGCATAAAGAAAACCAGACATAGAATTGAAAACCAAGAAAAACTAAACAAGAATTGTAAAAAGAGCACTGGATACCAGAAACCAAGTCAGACATCAGAACAGAGGAGAGCAGATCCTGACACCTTGTCGACGGTTGGGCCGGTCCTGCAGTGGTTAGGGTGTTCTGTGGCAGTCCCAGGGTTGGCAGGAGATCCCTGGCACCTTGTAGGTCGTGGACCTTGTATGAAGTGTTGCCGTGTTGAATCAGGAGCGCCCAGGGTCGCCTCCACTGGTAGGTGATTTTATGAGGGCCGTGAAGGGTTTCAAGGTGTGGCGCCAGGCCAGTGTCGCCCCTGAGAGGTCCGCGTAACATGAGAGCTGTCTGCCTTCGATCACGTATGGTGTCTGTGTCCTGGTCGCTTGGAGGACCGCTGCTCTGTCCCTGTGGCTCAGGAAGCAAACTAGGAGGTCTCTCGGTGCTGTAGCTGGTGCTTTAGTTGGACGTGGGAGGCGGAACATCCCCCCCAAAGTCACCTGTTTGGCCTGTTTGGTGGGTAACAGAGTGGCCAGCAGGTGCCGTATGAAGTGCAGTACCTCCGCTTCCGGGATCTCCTCTCCGAGGTCCCTGATTTTAATGTTCAGGCTTCTCTGATCTTCGAGGTCTGCAAATCATTGATCTGTTGTGTGGGACAGTTGTTGTAGGTTGTGCACAGCTTTGTATAGCCACACTGTTTCCTGCGTGTTGTGGCGGGAGTCTGCTTCCAACGTGGTCAGGCGGCCTGTCAGGCCTTGCAGGTTTCCGCGTATCTGGGCCATGTCTGCCTGTATGGTGAGTTGCAGCCCCGCCAGCAATTTCTTCATTACCATGGTGGTCACGGGTGAGTTGTCCGCTTGTAGGTTTGCTTGGCCGGGAGCTGTCAAGATGGGTGGGCAGTGTAGTTCAGCCCCGCTTGTGAAATCGTCTGACATTTCGGAGTAATCATCGGCGTAGTCGGCCATGTTTGGGCCTGTGCTGTTGCAGGCCTGCTGCCATAAGTCACCCATAGTTCCGCTCAGCCGGGGCTTGTCGGGCCCATCTCTTCACACCTAGTTAGTGGTGCTTGTTGGTACCCTTTGTAAGGGTTTTGTGCAGTGTTAGAGGGTTTACTGCAGTGGCTTGGTCCAGAGCTTTGGTAGCGTGTGGCCATTCAGGTCCGTGGCTTGGCTCCACTCCGAACTGACGTTTTAATGTTAAAATACCCTCTATCACACTTTGGTAGACAAGACAAACTATTAGAATGGTTATTCTGTTTTTTTTAAACAGGTTGAATAGTAACTCTGACATAAACTTCCAAAAAAGAAAAATATCTATGTTGTCTATTTTTGGTTTCTGTTGATAATTGTGTTAAAGATTTCATTTCGCTTATGCTGATAGACAGTTGGAAAATCCATACACTAATCAAAATCTCATTTACTTCCTGTGATCGGAACAATTACTTCTCCAGGCAACACAGGAAAAGTGTTATGGTTGGAAAAAGGACACCCTCAATTTCGTAAATTGCTTGTTCACACTGTCTTGTTATGTGTTCTTTAAAATCAGTCCTGTTACCTGCTTGTGTTTTCTTTTGGGCGATGTATAACAAATTCCAGAAATTTATGTTTTTAGTTACATCGCGTTAATGACAATTCCTCAAAAGTTATACATGGTTTAGTTTACAATAATTCTTGGTTATACAATAAAAAACGCCTTCTGATAACCTGCAAAAGAAATCCGGTCAGACTAATAAATAAAAATACACTTAAAGGGTCAGTCTTAGCGATGTACCCACCTAGCTCATTGCTCTGATATGGTGTAATAAGTCTATACGCGTTGTCCCTAGTTATATGGTTAAACTGTATAAGCACAGTTTGACCAGTTTTTGGGCACTCCAGAGCTCTCAGAGACTGCCCCCTCATCATTTAATTTGAATGCAGAAATTTAAATCAATATCAATTTTGTGTACCCTGGATGGCAATGATAAGCTGAGAGAACTGGAGGTGGGCTAGCCTGGAGCCAATCACTGCCATTTATTGAGAAAAAGACTGATATAGATAATGTGGAAGAGTACATTTTGCATTATTTAATTTGGCTAAAGGGGAATGGTCTCTGGGTGCCAGCAAGAGGTTTTTTGTCTTTTTGTTTTATAATTCTTCATTTTTGCAGTGCTTAGTTAACAGGCTTACATTGACATTTTTACATGGAAAAAAAGACCATGAGGTTAAAAGCATGATTGCTGGAAAATGCCAGAGATACAGCACTCATAAAAAAAATAAAAAAAAAATAACAGGAACAATAACGATGAGAAATATATACCATGCGTTGGGGGGATAGTGAAAGAAGCTATGCTAAAGCCATTGCATTTCCTAGGCATTGATATTGCTTGAGTATAGATCTTAGACATAAAATATAATTGAGTAACAACTAAACAGGAGAGTGGACACTAGGCGCCTGAGGTAATGTGGTAATTCCTCCGTGGGGATCGTGTCAGGGACTCCCCGAATCTTAATGTTGCTGCGCCTGCTTTTGTCTTCTAAGAGTGCCATTTGGACAGTTATAGAGGTATGGGATTGGTGAAGGCTTTGAATGGATTTCTGTACAGAGGCTAGGCCTGTCTGCAGATCCATGACGTCTTCTTCAGCGGCTTTGACTCTGTCTGTGACTGCTTGAATTTCTGTTTTGACCACTGCTATGTCTGCAGGAAATAGTTTTTGTATGTTTTGATATAGGGCTTAACTGTCCTCTTTGGTTGCCAGATATGCCACCTATTGTTGGTGGGTGCTGGCACTGTGGGTTTCTGTGACCTGCGTCCCATTTGTGTGGGGTCTTGTGGGCACCTTTGCGAGGTTTCAGGCTGAGTGGGGTTTCCCCTGATCTCCGTGGGAGCTATACGGGATCCTGACCCAAAGAAGTATGGGGTGAGGTAGGCCCCTACCTTGTGGTGCCGCCGTTTCGTGCCTGGGTCGAATAAAAAGGGCATCGATCAGGAGGTTGAGGTGTTCAGTAGCAGTCTGGCCCCCTTTCATCTGGCACTGATGCAGGATTCAGTTGATATTTGTGGGATTCTGTGCAGTGTTGCAGGATCACAGCAGTATGGCGTCTGCTCCGTTCCATGGTCATGCTCCGCCCACCTGTTTTTTTTTATACACTGGTCTCAAACAGGGGATGATATGCCACCACAACGAGTTGTAATAGTTACGTTACTCTTATGCTCCTTCAAGTAAGGACAAGTTCAAAGTTCTACTGTAAACATCTTAAATTCTAGCTGAGCACTTTGATATCAAAGGCTGGCAGGTAATGAATAATTCATTGTTAGAAACTGCCAGTATTCTGGATACTTAAAGGAATATTCAAATGAAGTGATATGACACTTATTCAATATGGCTGCTCTTGCCTACATGAAGACAGATGGTCAATAAATGATCACAGAGGATGCTTGTCAGCTGATAACTGTGACTCCAGTTACAACCTCGCATTTTTGTGCTCTGTAGAGAACATGCTGTAAATGGGGAAATTGAAGGGTCACACTAAGTATCAAAAGCAACTCTTTGTTATTGCAAAGGTTACGGTATGTTGAGCATTCTGAACCAGGGATGTTACAAAGTTCCAAAAATACATTGAGATGAAGACAAAACCAAGATTTCCACCCTAAGGCTCCTTCTTTTGTAGCATTTCAGCCTTTTAGTCACCAATTTAGACCTTGATTTAATATTGTTGGATAAGATTTTTACATTATTTCATATTTTTCAATAAACTTTCAAAAACAATTTCTCAAAATATTGAACTATCAAAAATATATAATGTATTAAAAAAATATATCGGACACATATATCAATACACATTGTTCAGGTAGTGTTACCTGCTGCCCCTCCACCATGCATAAGGGTTCTGGGGTAAAAGAAACATCTTTGAGGTTTCAGCCTCCAAAGCGTATACTTAGCAACACCTCTGCCGAGGGCCCAATCTCTATGCATGTACTAATAAGAAGGATTTTTCTCTATAGGTCAGCTGAGAGTCAAGGTGCATGATCTGAAACGTATGGCAGTAAGGATGCTATTCGTTTTTAATGCAGTTTTACTCATCCTAGTTGATAAGTGGAAATGTCTCCTTATCCATAATGTAATATAGTAATCTGCAGGTCAGGGATTTATGGTATAAAATCAGATGCTTTATTACAGAATGAGAATCTCCTGACTGGAGTTAGTTACTTTGTTGATAGTTCCCTTTCAACATAGTGATTGACTGAATGATTGATTGATACTTACTGCATATATGGGATGAAGTTCAGGTGCATTTAAGTCCCACTGGTTAACGTGGGATCCTATTTGTACACCTGGAAATTGAAGCTCTTTCACACATCGATGCATCTCCTCTATGGCCAACTCTGGACTTTGCATCGGTAATGTTCCAAGGCCTACAAATCTTTTAGGATGCTTCCGAACAACTGCTGCCAAATGATCATTTAAGAAACGGGATAGGTCCTGCGTGTCCTGAGGCTTTGCCTGTTTAAAGAGATATTATTGTGAAGTAAATAAGCCGGTAAATATGTTTTATATGCAGGGGTGTCAGCACAGAGTTCTATGGCTTAGTGGGCAACTCTTTTGTATTTGGGTGTTGGATGGTATGTTAGTTTGGTCTAAAAAAGGTTTATTTATTTGTACTTGCCCCACAAGTCCAAAATTTGGCAGTCTTCTCCTGCATAGACATTACAGTGTGTCATGGGGTCGTACCCCAACTTACATTTAACAGCATGGTGGAAATTCCCAAATAGAAAAGGAAAACCCTCTATGAAAGACAATAATTGTTGTAAAAAGAAAAATATTCCTGGTTTAAGGTAAGTCTTTTGCAAACTCACAGGAGAAGCAAAGGGTCTAATAGTGTATATGTGTTCCCGAGGTCTGGAGACCTCTAAGGACTGGACTCAGAGTCTTGTTAGAGTATTGTTAAATATTGAATATAGGACGTTTGTAGATTTTGATGCCAGATTATTTGCTTTTGTGAGTCATAATTTATTTTTGTTTGCTGAATTTGTTTTGAAGTTTTGGATTTTAATGGCAATTCATAATTGTGGAAAAATTAGATTTTTTTTTATTGAACCTGATAATAGTAAGCAATATGCGATTTACACTCTCCGTGAAGCTATACTGTTTCAGTCTGATGTGGTTGAGAGGGCCAGGAAAATGATGAATGCACAGGACCACTGCATTTCTTCTATTATATTTTCTTGCAAATAAAACAGGATTCAGAACGTTATGATATCTAGAAATCAGTGAAGCACTTTTTATTATTTTACAGTTATTTTTGTGTTTTAGTACTTACCCAATAGCTGAACATTACAGGGACGGTAGACAGGGCTTGCACTGTCACACCTGTATGTAGAAATATCAGTTTTCCATTCAAAAAAACTTAAATGGCTGTGATTTGACACATGACAGTAAAGAAATTTACCAGCAGACATAGTGCAACAAATCTCCATATTAGTAGCTAATAATTGCAGTAGCCAGTTTATTCAATAATTCCATTATATAATTAATTATTAATTTTACACCCCAGGTGCCCCTAGGCATAGAATATAAAAAATAAAAAAAAACACAGAGGAGATGACCTATATCACCATGATATGAATGGTCACTTTGGCCAATTTGGTTTAGCGTGGGCTTTGGGTATATAAGGTGACATACAGTATCTCACAAAAGTGAGTACACCCCTCACATTTTTGTAAATATTTTATTATATCTTTTCATGTGACAACACTGAAGAAATGACACTCTGCTACAATGTAAAGTAATAAGTGTACAGCCTGTATAACAGTGTAAGTTTGCTGTCCCCTCAAAATAATTCAACACACAGCCATCAATGGCTAAACCATTGGCAACAAAAGTGAGTACACCCGAAAGTGGAAATGTCCAAATTGGGCCCAATTAGCCAATTTCCCTTTCCGGTGTCATGTGACTCGTTAGTGTTACAAGGTCTCAGGTGTGAATGGGGAGTAGGTGTGTTAAATTTGGTGTTATCGCTCTCACACTCTCTCATACTGCTCACTGGAAGTTCAACATGGCACCTCATGGCAAAGAACTCTCTGAGGATCTGAAAAGAAGAATTGTTGCTCTACATAAAGATTGCCTAGGCTATAAGAAGATAGCCTATCAGTGCTCAGACCATACGCCGCACACTGCATCAAATAGGTCTGCATGGCTGTCGTCCCAGAAAGAAGCCTCTTCTAAAGATGATGCACAAGAAAGCCGCAAGCAGTTTGCTGAAGACAAGCAGACTAAGGACATGGATCACTGGAACCTTGTCCTGTGGTCCAATGAGACCAAGATAAACTTATTTGGTTCAGATGGCGCCAAGCTTGTGTGGCGGCAACCAGGTGAGGAGTACAAAGACAAGTGTGTCTTGCCTACAGTCAAGCATGGTGGTGGGAGTGTCATGGTCGGGGCCTGCATGAGTGCTGCCAGCGCTGGGGAGCTACAGTTCAATGAGGGAACCATGAGAGCCAACATGTACTGTGACACACTGAAGCACAGCATGATCCACTCCTTTCAGAGACTGGGCCGCACGGCAGTATTCCAACATGATAACGACCCCAAACACACCTCCAAGATGACCACTGCCTTGCTAAAGAAACTGCAGGTAAAGGGGATGGACTGGCCAAGCATGTCTCCAGATCTAAACCCTATTGAGCATCTGTGGGGATCCTCAAACAGAAGACAGGGGAGCGCAAGGTCTCTAACATCCACCAGCTCCGTGATGCCATAATGGAGGAGTGGAAGAGGACTCCAGTGGCAACCTGTGAAGCTCTGGTGAACTCCATGCCCATGAGGGTTAAGGCAGTGCTGAAAATTTAATGGTGGCCACACAAACTATTGACACTTTAGGCCCAATTTGGACATTTCCACTTAGGAGTGTACTCACTTTTGTTGCCAACGGGTTAGCCATTAGTAGCTTTGTGTCGAGTTATTTTGAGAGGACAGCATATTTACACTGTTATACTGACTGTACACTTACTACTTTACATTGTAGCAGAGTGTAATTTCTTCAGTGTTGTCACATGAAAAGATATAATAAATTATTTACAAAAATGTGAGGGGTGTACTCACTTTTGTGAGATACTGTAACTTCTGTTAAATACCAAGCTCTACCTTGCAAATTGCACAACGATACGCAGGCAGCGAGTTGGCAGCAAAGACATAATCCCTCTGCCAGGATGAATGAATGCATGCCTTTGTCAGCAAGTGCACCTACTTTGTTTTATTTATTCATTTCTATAACTTTCTTGTACTTGCAAACCATGGTAAAGTTGTGTCGGTAAGAGAAAAGTTCTAAATGGGGCGCAATCACCTTGGAAACAAATGGAATGTTATTTCTGATTGAATTGGTTTCCTTTGTGACTGCTCTACATTGAAAACTTTGATCTACTTTTCTGTTAGTAACAGTTGCATAAATCTCACTTTAATTACTGCCACTACTGGTTGGATGTGTATTTGCCCATTTGGAGTTATAAAGTACAATATATATTATATCAGAATGTCTTTGCTATATACATTTACCTGATTGATCCATTTCTTTTAACCTCACTTCAGGATCCCAGCAATTGGATTGAACTATGCGAAACACATTCCCATCTTTGACCATTTTCGCCTCCCCCTAAAGAAAGAGATGTTATACCAAAGGTAGACGTAGTTTCTTCCAGTTCTTGTAAACTAAAAGATAGACAACACGTGAGCTGTAATACTGCCAGGTTGCAGGTTTATACAGTTACACAGCAGTATAGCTTGAAAGAGCTTCCTGAGTTCAGCCTTTTAAACCTCCGTGTTACAGCTCTTGATCAAAAAGCAAAAACAATTCCAACTGTGCCACATGAAGGAAATAATAAAAAAGAAATCATTGAATTCACTGTGGCAAACATATTTCTTTTAGATTATGTACCAGTAAATATTCACTAAGTCATGCACTCTTCTATATTCCTGCTTCCAGCTGCTTTCTGAAACACAATTATCAATCAATCTCCCGATAAATGTAACTATAAAAACATACAGCAAGTGACGACGTGATACTGTGTATTTGTTTTGTCCAAAAGTATGGCAAATCTAAAAGGGTTATTTACTATAGTGAGAATTGTCAGGAATTCAAAGTGACTGCTTATCTGCATACATACATGGAACCCAGTTATTAAATGTTACTACATTTCTGAGTAACAAAGTAGGGATCGGGCACCTGACACACTCGTATTCCGAGGAGGTCTCCTGCTACGGAGATACAATGGATGGAGGGTCACTTCATGCCTGATGATCTGATTTGGGAGCCATGGTTGGTGCTTGGCAATGCCAGTCTCTGCCAATGATCGATCATGCTCCATTTCAATATGCAGACTGAGACTGAGAGTCAGGATAAGACTTCGGATAACCTGGTGCTCTATCTTACACCAATCAGTAGCCACTGTTATCTTGCTAGATCATCTGAGTTTTTAATGTCAGGTATCTGGTTTGATTACACACACATAGACTACATGGCCTTTTCTGGAAAACTCATGAAACCAAAAAAACAGCAAACTGAGAACTGTCAACCATGATGGTGATTATGAAGATAGAACTTAAATTGGGCTTAGCTACCCTTCCCAGACTGAAATCCCCTCAATCTTCTCTCTATGTGTCCGGCTATGTGAGGCAATCAGGATCTTTATTGTGTATGGATTATCACAGAGCTCCATGGCAATAAAACTCACAGTAATATGCAGTGTATATGAGTACATCACAGAGCTCCATGGCAGTACAACTCACAGTAATATGCAGTGTAAATGAGTACATCACAGAGCTCCATGGCAATAAAACTCACAGTAATATGCAGTGTAAATGAGTACATCACAGAGCTCCATGGCAATACAACTCACAGTAATATGCAGTGTATATGAGTATATCACAAAATAATAATTGTGTGTAGTATAAGTGTATCACAGAGCTCCACAGCAAGAAAACTTATAGTAATGTATGAATTAAGTATAGATATTCATACTGTAGATTGTGCTATTGAATGTTTATTATTACATAAATATGTATATTTATAAATATGTAATAAAAACATGTGTATAATATCTTACAAATACCTGAGATTTTATTTACATCCAGAATCCTAAATCCCTCTGTATTTCACTCACTGTTTCAGCTCGTTACTTAATAACAAGTAAAACTCACTCCAAATTTCACGTGTTCCTATTACCAGCATCCGGACTGAGACATTAAACAGAGATAGTGAATAGCAGGGGGAAAGGTGACTTATGGTATTAGCGGAATTTTCTCTTCTAAGGCCACAGTATAAAGGAGACGGCTTTTCATGGCATTGATTTGTTCAGCTTCAATCTCTGACGCCATGTCAGAAAGTGTTGGGATAAATTAGATTTTCTTATGTGAGATTAGGAAAGGACTCAATATAATGGATATTTTCAATTGGTTAATGCCTAGGGAGAATAGCGAATCAAGTCTTTGAAAGCACCGTGTTTTACAGTCTGACAATCACCAGGGCATCATATAACGGCTATTTTTAGAGCTACCCGACTCGGCTTGTAAAGAATATAAAAAATACACAAAAATCCTGGCAGGGCTATTCAGTAAAGTGTTAATTAAAAAATAATTAATTCCACATTTTAGGCCAAATTAGAGGAATTGAAAACACACATGACTTGGGGATCTTTTTCCCATTTTTAATATTTAGGCCTACAATTTAAAAATTCACATTGAATTCTCTGGGTTATCTACTAATTAATAGCAAAAGTAGGGGCAGATTAATATCATAAATCACCTTGTTAGTATTATTGTATTATTTTTCATGTAGTATTTAACAGTCCATTCTGTATATTATATGTAATATAGACTGGTCAATATAATACCAAATTAAATTTTGGTGTTCAAGTTCTCATAGCAATGCCAACGCTGACAGATTTTCGAAAGTCAAAAATATTATTTTCTCAATTTATCATTAAAGGAACAAATTGTAATCACCTCATCAAGCACGACAACATTGTCTAATCATTTGGACTGGCCCGTAGAGAGAGCAGACCTTGCTATCTGCCTTTTTCGGGCCAGTGTGGAGATCAAAGATCTCCCTCACCGGTCTCTGGGCAGTTTGTTAAAGGAGTGGGAGGGAGGGAGGAGCTGGGAAGCTGTGATCCTCCCGCGAGCATGGAGGTCGGAGCGTTGCTGCTCGTTACTATGGCAGCCCTCCAACAGCACTGTGCTCGTGGGAAGAAAATAGTGAAGTCAGGTGCAGTACCACCTCACACACATACTGCACCACACACACTCACACAAACACACTGCACCCCCCCACACAAACAGAACCCCTCACACAAACACACTGCAACCCCCCACACAAACAGAACACCTCACAAAAACACACTGCACCCCCCCACACACAGAATCCCTCATACACACTGCACCCCCTCTCAAACAGAACCCCTCTCACACAAACATAACCCCTCTCACACAAACACACTACACCCCCTCACACACACACACTGCACCCCCTCACACACACGCACAGCACCCCTCACACAAACACACATACTGCACCCCTCACACACACACGCACAGCACCCCTCACACAAACACACAGCGCCCCTCACACAAACGCACATACTGCACCCCTCACACACGCACATAACCCCTCACACAAGCACATAACCCCTTCCACAAACACACAGCACCACTCACACAAACACACACAGCACCACACACACACAGAATCCCTTACACACACACACAGCACCCCTCACACACACAGCACCCCTCTTACAAACACACTGCACTCCCTCACACACACTGCACCAAGCACACACACACACACTCTGCACCATTCACACACATTCTGCACCCCTCTCACACACTGCACCCTTCAGACACACACTGCACCCTTCACACACACTCACTACACCCCCTCACACACACAATACACCTCTCACACACACACATAATCATCGCACAAACACACTGCACCCCCCCACACACAGCACCCCTCACACAAACTCTGCACCCCTCTCACACACGCTGTACCCCTCACACACACACTGCAGCTCTCACACACACACTGCACCTCTCTCACACACACACTTACACCCCTCTCACACACACACACACACTGCGCGTAGATCAATACCAGCTAACATCACATTAAAGAGAATCAGAACCCCTCACACAAACACACTACACCCCCTCACACACACACACACACACACACTGCACCCACTCACTCACACACACACACAGCACCCCTCACACAAATGCACATACTGCACCCCTCACACACACACAAAACCCCTCACACAAGCACATAACCCCTCCCACAAACACACAGCACCACTCACACAAACACACACAGCACCACACAGACACAGAATCCCTTACACAAACACACAGAACCCCTCACACAAACACGCTGCATCCCACACACACAGAACCCCTCTTACAAACACACTGCACTCCCTCACACACACTGCACCACACACACACACACACACTCTGCACCATTCACACACGTTCTGCACCCCTCTCACACACTGCACCCTTCAGACACACACTGCACCCTTCACACACACACTCTCTACACCCCTCACACACACGCACTACACCTCTCACACACACACTGCACCCCCCACACACAGCACCCCTCACACACACTCTGCACCCCTCTCACACACGCTGCACCCCTCACACACACACTTCACCCCTCACACACTGCATCCCTCACTCACACACACACACACACACACACACTGCAGCCCTCACACACAGACTACACCTCTCTCACACACACACACTACATCCATCTCACACCCCTCTCACACACACACACACACACACACACTGCGAGTAGCAACATCATCAATAC